CGTTCATTGTTGTTGAGAATCATTTGCATCCTTCTAGCATCATCCATATTTATTGAAATCATTTTGTGTCCTTCTAACATCATTCATATTTTTGAATCATTTAACTCTTCTATCATCCCATATCTGTTGAAATCATTTTGCCTCTTCTATCATCCCCATATTTATTTGAAATCATTGTATCCTTCTACTTTCCATCCATATTTGTTGAATCTTTGCCTCTTCTGCATCGTTCATATTTGTTTGAAATCTTTTTGCATCTTCTAGCATCATTCATATTTATTTGAGAATCTTTTACATCTTCTACCATCATCTCATATTTGTTGAAATCATTTGCATCCTTCGCATCGTCCATATTTATTGCGAATCATTTTGCCTCTTCTAGCATCCCCATTCATATTTATTTGAATCATTTTGCCTCTTCTACCATCATCCATTTGTTGATTTTTATTTCTTCTAGAATCGTCATTTTGTTGAGATCCTTTGCATCCTTCTAACATCGTCCATATTTCTTTAGATCATTTTTTTACTTCTTCTGTTGAAGATCATTTGCCTTCATCGTTTTGTTGAGATCATTGCATCCTTCTAGCATCGTCCATATTTGTTTAGATCATTTTGAGATCCTTCTAACATCGTCCATATTTGTTCCAGATCATTTGCCTCTTCTACCATCGTCCATATTTGTTCAGATCATTTCCCCTCTTCTAGCATCGTCCGTATTTTTTGAATCATTTGCCTCTTCTACCATCATTCGCATATTTGTTGAGATCATCCTCTTCTACCATCGATTATTTGCATCCTTCTGTTGTCGTCCATATTTGTTGAGATCATTTGTCTCTTCTAGCATCGTCCATATTTGTTGAGAATCATTTGCCTCTTCTACCATCGTCCATATTTGTTTAGATCATTTGCCTCTTCTATTCCATCCCTTATTTGTTGTTCTTTTTGCCTCTTCGCATCGTCCATATTTATTTGAATCTTTTGCCTCTTCTACCATCATTCATATTTGTTGAATCATTTGCATCCTTCTAGCATCATCGTTCATATTTATTTTGAATCATTTTGTCCTTCTACCATCATTCATTATTTGTTGAATCATTTGCCTCCTTCTAGCATCGTCCATATTTGTTGAAATCATTTTGCATCTTCTAGCATCGTCCGTGTTTGTTGAGATCATTTGCCTCTTCTACCATCGTCCATATTTGTTGAGGATCATTTGCATCTTCTAGCATTGTCCATATTGTTGAGATCATTTGCGTCTCCTTCCTGGCATCGTCCATATTTGTTGAGATCATTTGTCTCTTCTAGCATCGTCCATATTTGTTGAATCTCATTTTACCTCTTCTGCATCGTCCTTATTTGTTTGAGATCATTTGCATCTTCTTGTCGTCATATTTTTGAAAATCATTGCCTCTTCTACCATCATCCATATTTGTTGAAATCATTGCCTCCTTCTAACATCATCCATATTTTTTGAGATCATTTTCATCTTCTACCATTTGACTCTTCTACCATCGTCATTTGTTGAATCATTGCCTCATTCTTAACATCGTCCATATTTTTTTTGATCCATTTTATCCCTTCATATTTGCATCTTCCATATTTACCATTTTGTTGATATTTGCCTCTTCTATTTGAATATTTACGTCCATATTTGTTGAATCATTTGCATCCTTCTTGGAATCTGCATCGTCCCATCATTTGTTGAATCTTTTGCCTCTTCACCATCGTCCATATTTGTTGATATTTATTGATCATTTTAGTTGAATCATTTTACCTTCTGGTATCGTTCATATTTTTTGAGATCATTTTGCCTCTTCTAGTCCATAAATGTTGAGATCATTTGCTTCCTTCTAGCATCGTCCATATTTATTTGAGATCATTTGTAGCATTCTCCATCGTTCATTGTTTTTACCTCTTCTATTTCCATATTTTTGCATTGCCCATATTTGTTGAATTTATTGATATCTTCTACTCCTTCTAGCTCGTCCATTTTGTTTTAGATCATTTTGTTGATCCTTCATCCTTTAACATCGTCCATATTTGTTTAGATCATTTATCCTTCTACCATCGTCCATTTTGTTGAATCATTGCCTCTCTACATCAATTGTCCATATTTGTTGATATTGCCTCTTCTACATCGTCCCTATTTGTTGAGAATCATTGCACATCCATCCACTCGTTCATATTTGTTGAATCATTTGCCTCTTCTACCATCGTCCATATTTGTTGATATCTTTTACATCCTTCTAACATCGTCCATATTTGTTTTGAATCATTTGTATCTTCTAGCATCGTCCATGTTTGTTATCATTTGCATCCTTCTAGCATCGCATCCATTGTATCCCTTCTACCATTCCGCCTTTATTTGAATCATTTGCCTCTTCTGTCGTCATATTTGTTGAGATCAATTGCATCCTCCTTTATTTATTTTGAGATCATTGCCTTTCTACCATCGTCCATAATTTTGAGATCATTTGCCATAATTTTGAATCATTTGCATCTTCTACATCGTCCATAATTGTTGAATCATTTGTATCCTTCTAGCATCGTCCCATATTTGTTGAGATCGTTTTGCTCTTCTACCATCGTCCATATTTATTTCGAATCATTTGCCTCTTCTACCATCATTCATATTTGTTCGAATCATTCCTCTTCTAGCATCATCCATATTTGTTAGAGATCATTTGCCTCTTCTACATCGTTCATATTTGTTGAGATCATTTTGCCTCTTCTACCATCGTTCATATTTGTTGAGATCTTTTACATCCTTCTAGCATCGTCCATATTTGTTGAGATCATTTAATCCTTCTAACTCGTACATCTGTTGAGATCATTTTGCCTCTTCTGGCATCGTCCATATTTATTTAGAGATCATTTGCTAGCATCGTCCATATTTGAGAATCATTTACCTTTCTACCATCGTCCATATTTGTTGAGATCTTTACCCATTTCAACTTCGTCCATCCTTCTTGAGATCATTCCTTCAGTATCATTTGTTGAATCATTTGCATCCTTCTAGCATCATTCCTATTTGTTTAGATCATTTGCATCCTTCTACCATCGTCCATATTTGTTGAATCATTTGCCTCTTCTACTATCGTCCATATTTGTTCCTTAACTATCGTCATCCATATTTATTTTGAATCATTTTCTTCTACCATCGTCCATCTTTGTTACGGTCCATTTGCAACCTTCTAGCATATTTATTTGTTGGAATCATTTGCCTCTTCTTCGTCCTTGCTCATTCTTCTAACATCATTTATTTAGAGATCATTTGCCTCTTCTACCATTCATTTTGTTGAACCATTTTACATCCTTCGCATCGTCCATATTTATTGGGTTGTATCCTTCTAGCATCGTCCATTTTTTTACCTCTGTTATATTGTTGAATCATTTGTATCCTTCTAACGTATCGTTTTGTTGAATTTTTGACCATCGTCCATTTTGTTAAGATCTTCTACCATCGTTCATATTTGTTGAGATCATTTGCATCCTTCTATCGTCCATATTTGTTGAGATCATTTGCCTCTTCTAGCATCGTCCATATTTTTAGATCTTTTCTAGCATCGTCCCATATTTGTTGAGATCATTTTGCCTCTTCTGCCATCGTCCATATTTTTGAGATCATTTACCTCCCTTCCCAATTGTTGAAGATCGTTTGCCTCTTCTACCATTTATTTAGAAGATCATTTGCTCTTCTAACATCGTCCATATTTTGTTGAATCATTTTGCATCTTCTAGCATCGTCCACTTGTTGAGATCATTTGACCATCGTTCATTTGTTTAGATCATTTTTCTACCATCGTTCGCTATCCTTCTAGCATCGTCCATATTTGTTGAATCATTTGCCTCTTCTACCATCGTCCATATTTGTTGAGATCATTTGCCTCTTCTACCGTCTAGCTTTTGTCCTTTAACATCGTCCATTTTGGTGTTTTGCCTCTTCTCGTTCCATATTTGTTGAGATCGTTTTGCCTCTTCTAGCATCGTCCATATTTGTTGAGATCATTTGTATCCTTCCATAATCATTTGCCTCTTCCATCGTTCATTTTGTTGAGATCATTTGCCTCTTCTACCATCGTCCATATTTGATGAGATCCCTTCTATTTTTGTTGATCCTTCTCCTTCGCATCGTCCATATTTTTTTTGAATCGTCCATTTTGTTGATATCATTTGTATCCTTCTACCATCGTTCATATTTGTTGAAGATCATTTGCATCCTTCTAGTCCATCGTCCAATATTTCGTTGAATTTTGATTTGTTCTCCTTCCCATATTGTTGAATCATTGCATCGTCCATATCCATTGTTGAATCATTTACCTCTTCTACCATCGTCCATATTTGTTGAATCATTTTACATCCTTCTGCATCGTCCATATTTGTTGAGAATCATTTGTATCCTTCTCATCCATATTTGTTGAAAATCATCGTCCATATTTGTTGAATCATTTGCATTCTTCTATCGTCCATATTTGTTGAGATCATTGCCTTTTAGCATCGTCCATATTGTTGAGAATCATTTGCCTCTTCTTTCATTTTGTTGATATCCTTCTAGCATCGTCCAGCATCGTCCATTTTGTTGAGAATCATTTGCATCCTTCTAGCATCGTCCATATTTGTTGAGATCATTTGCATTTGCATCCCATTTTATTTGTTCATTTGTCCATACTTCTAGCATAGTCCATGTTATCATTTTGCCTCTTCTACCATCATTCCGCATTTGTTGCAGTGTTTTTGTATCTATTAGTATCACATTTGTTTTTGGAATCATTGCCTCTTCTTCTACCATCATTGCATCCTTCTTGCTCATCCCATATTTGTTGAATCTTGTTTCATTGCATCATTCGTATTTTGAGAATCATTGTCTTCTACCATTTTCATATTTATTTGAGAATCATTTGCATCCTTCTAGTCCATCATTTGTATCCATATTTATTTTGAGAATCATTTGCCTCTCTACCATCGTCCATATTTGTTGATATCATTTGCATCCTTCTAGCATGTTTGCCTCTCGTCCCATATTTGTTGAGATCATTTGCCTCTTCTACCCATCGTCCATATTTTGTTCCTTCAGATCATTTGCATCTTCTACCATCGTTCATTTTGTTGAAATTTGCATCCTTTATTTGTCTTCTAGCATAGTCCCATATTTGTTGATCTTTTGCCTCTTCTACCATCGTCCATATTTATTTGAGAATCATTTGTATCCTTCTAGCATCGTTTATATTTGTTGAGATCATTTGCCTCTCTTCATCATCCCCTATTTATTTGAGACCATTTTGCATCCTTCTAGCATCATCCATATTTGTTGAGATCATTTGTATCCTTCTACTTGTCATTCGTATTTTTGAAAATCATTTGCCTCTTCTTCCATCATTCATATTTGCATTGATCGTCCATATTTTGCATCCTTTTATATCCTTCTTGTCGTCCATATTTGTTGAATCATTTTGCCTATCCTTTTGTTGAATATTTGCATCCATATATTTGTTGAATCATTTGCCTCTTCTACCATCGTTCATATTTGGCAGAATCATTTACTGCATCCTTCTATCATTCATATTTGTTGAGATCATTTTGCCTCTTCTAGCATCGTCCATATTTGTTGAGATCATTTGCATCTTCTAGCATCGTCCATATTTGTTGGATCATTTGCATCCTTCTAGCATCGTTCCATAATTTGAGATCTTTTGTATCTTCTACCATCGTTCATATTTATTTGAATCATTTGCCTCCTTCTACCATCGTCCATATTTGTTGCGAAGATCATTTGCATCCTTCTAGCATCGTCCATATTTTGTTGAATCCTTTGTCCATCTTCTCATTTATCGTCCCTATTTGTTGAGAATCATTTGTGTCCTTCTAGCATCGTTCGTATTTTTGAATCATTTTGCCTCTTCTACCATCATTCTGTATTTTGTTGAGATCCATTTGCATCCTTCTTTGTCGTCCATATTTGTTGAGATCATTTGTATCCTTTCAGCATCGTTCATATTTGTAGAGATCATTTACCTCTTCTACCATCGTTCATGTTTGTTGAGATCATTTTGTCCTTCTAGCATCGTCCATATTTGTTTAGAATCATTTTATTTTCTAGAATCGTCCATATTTGCTGAAATCATTTGCCAACTTCTAGCATCGACCATATTTGGTGAGATCATTTGCATCCTTCTAGCATCCTTCATATTTGTTGATATCATTTGCCTCTTCTACCATCGTTCATATTTGTTGAGATCATTTTGCTCCTTCTACCATCGTCCATATTTGTTGAGATCATTTGCCTCCTTCTAGCATCGTCCATATTTGTTGGAGATCATTTGCCTCTTCTACCATCGTCCATTTTGTTGAGATCATTTGTATCCTTCTAGCATCGTTCATATTTGTTGAGACTCATTTGCATCTTCTACCATCGTTCATACTTGTTGAGATCATTTGTATCTTCTAGTATCGTTCATATTTTTGTTGAGATCATTGTATCCTTCTTTTAAAATCTCTAGCATCGTCCATATTTGTTGAGATCATTTGCCTCCTTCTACCATCGTCCATATTTGTTGAGATCATTTGCCTGCTTCTAGCCATCGTTCGTATTTTTTGGAGATCATTTGCCTCTTCTACCATCGTTCATATTTATTTGAGATCATTTGCATCCTTCTAGCATCGTCCATATTTGTTAGAATCATTTGTATCCTTCTAGATCATCGTCCATATTTGTTGAGGATCATTTCATCCTCTTCTTTGTACCATCGTCCATATTTGTTGAGATCATTTTTTGCATCCTTCTAGCATTTGTTTTCAGCATTTGTTGTTGATCATTTGCCTCTTCTACCATCGTTCATATTTATTGAGATCATTTGCATCCTTTCTAGCATCGTCCATATTTGTTTGAGATCATTTGTATCCTTCTAGCATCGTTCGTATTTTTTGAGATCATTTGCCTCTTCTACCATCGTCCATATTTATTTTGGAAATCATTTGCATCCTTCTAGCATTGTCCGCATATTTGACTGAGATCATTTTGCCTCTTCTACCATCGTCATATTTGTTGAATCATTTGCCTCTTACTAGCATCGTCCATATTTTTAGATCATTTGTGTCCTTCTAGCATAGTCCATGTTTTGTATCATTTTTGCTTCTATCGTCATATTTGTTGAATCATTTGTATCCTTTCTAGTATCGTCCATATTTGTTGAGAATCATTTGCCTCTTCTACCATCGTCCATATTTGTTAAGATCATTTTGCATCCTTCTAGAGAATCATTTGTCCTTCTAGTCCCGTATTTTTTGAGATCATTTTGTATCCTTCTAGCATCGTCCATATTTTGTTGAATTATTTTGCATCCTTCTACCATCGTCATATTTGTTGAATCATTTGTATCCTTCTAACGTCGTCCATAATTTCAGATCATTTTGCCTCTTCTACCATCGTTCATATTTGTTGAGATCATTTTGCATCCTTCTAGCATCGTTCATATTTGTTGAGATCATTTTATCCTTCTACCATCGTTCATATTTGTTGAATCCTTCTAGCCCATATTTGTTGAAGATCCTTCTCCCACCATCATAATTTGAAGATCATTTGCCTTTCTACCATCATTCATATTTGTTGAAATCATTTTGCATCCTTCTAACATCTCGTCCACTTTTATTTGAAATTTTGTCCTTCTATTCCATTTTGTTGAATCATTTTTGCCTCTTCTAATCGTTCATATTTGTTGAGAATCATTTGCATCCTTCTAGCATCGTTGCCACTCATTTTCTTTCTACTACATCGTTGGAATCATTTGTCTCTTCTTGTCATCCATATTTGTTGAATCATTTGTGTCTTCTACCATCGTTCGTATTTTTGAGATCAGGCATTTTCTTACCATCGTCCTTCACTTTTGCATCCTTCATTCCATATTTGTTGAAGATCATTGCCTCTTCTACCATCATTCATATTTGTTGAAGATCATTTTGCCCTTCTTACCATCTCTGTCCCTTATTTGTTGAGAATCATTTGCATCTTCTTTGTCATTTTCCACTATTTGTTGAGAATCATTTTGCCTCTTCTACCATCCATATTTGTTGAAATTTTTGCATCCTTCTAATCATTTGTTGTCCATATTTGTTGAGAATTATTTTGCTCTTCTACCATCGTCATCATCCCTTATTTGTATCCTTATTTTAATAATTTCGAGATCATTTGCCTCTTCTACCATCATTCATATTTATTGAGATCATTTGCATCCTTCTAGCATCGTCCTTTTTGTTGAGATCATTTGCATCCTTCTAGCATCGTCCATATTGTTGAGATCATTTTGCCTTCTCCTGTCGTCCATATTTGTTGATATCATTTGCATCCTTCTAGCATCGTTCATATTTTTGAGAATCATTTTGCCTCTTCTACCATCCCATATTTGTTGAATCATTTTACATCTAACATCGTCCATATTTGTTGAGATCATTTGTCTCCTTCTACTTGTAGTCCATATTTGTTATCATTTGCCTCTTCTACATCGTCCATATTTATTTGAAGAATCATTTTGTATCCTTCTAGTATCATTCTTTTTGTTGGATCATTGCCTCTTCTACCATCGTTCATATTTGTTGAATCATTTTGCATCCTTCTAGCATCATCCATATTTGTTGAAGATCATTTGTCCTTCTAGCATCGTCCATATTTTTTGAGATCATTTTGCTCTTCTACCATCGTTCATATTTGTTGAAATCATTTGCATCCTTCTAACATTGTCCATATTTGTTGAGATGTTTTGCCTCTTCTACCATCATCTCCATATTTGTTGAGATCATTTGCCTCTTCTACCATCGTCCATATTTGTTGAATCATTTGCATCCTTCTAGCCATTTTTGTTCATATTTGTCTTCTATATGTCTATTGTTGAATCATTTGCCTCTCTCTCATTACATATTTGTTGATATTTGCGTCTTCTTGTCGTCCTGTTTGCCTCTTCTACCATCGTCCATATTTGAGATCATTTTGCATCCTACTAGCATCGTCCATATTTTTTGAGATCATTTCACTTTCTACCATCGTCCATATATTTGTTGAGATCTATTTGCATCCTTCTAGCATCGTCCATATTTGTTGAGATCATTTGCCTTCACCATCGTCCATATTTGTTGAGATCATTTGCATCCTTCTAGTATCGTCCATTTTGTTGATCATTTGTATCTTCACTAATGTCCATAAATGTTGGAGATCATTTGCCTTTCAGCATCGTCCATATTTGTTGGAGATCATTTGCATCCTTCAGCATCGTCATCGTTCGTATTTTTTTAGATCATTTGCATCCTTCTAGCATCGTCCATATTTGTTGAGATCATTTGTATCCTTCTAGCATCGTTCCATTTTGTTGAGAGATCATTTGCATCCTTCTTAGCATCGTCCATATTTGTTGAGATCATTTGCATCCTCCCACCATCGTCCATATTTGTTGATCATTTGCTTCTTCTACCATCGTCCATATTTGTTGAGATCCTTCTAGCATCGTTCATATTTGTTGGGGATCATTTGCTTTCACCATCGTCCATATTTGTTGAGATTCATTTGCATCCTACTAGCATCGTCCATATTTGTTGAGATCATTTGTATCCTTCAGCACAGTCCGTATTTTTGAGATTTGTTCTTCACCATCGTTCATATTTGTTGAGATCATTTGCATCCTACCATCGTCCATATTTGTTGAGATCATTTGTATCCTTCTAGCATCGTCCATATTTGTTGAGATTCATTTGCCTTTCTACCATCGTCCATATTTGTTGAGATCATTTGCATCCTTCTAGCATCGTCCACATTTGTTGAGATCATTTGCCCTCTACCATCGTCCATATTTTTTGAGATCATTTGCATCCTCCATCGTCCATATTTGTTGAGATCATTTGTAATCCTTCTAGCATCGTCCATATTTGTCCACCATATTTTGTTGAGATCATTTGATTTGTTCGTATCCTGAGATCATTTGCCTCTACCATCGTCCATATTTGTTGGAGATCATTTGCATCCTTCTTGCCATCGTCCATATTTGTTGTACTATTTGCATCCTTTTGTTGAGCATCGTCCATTTTGTTGAGATCATTTATCCTTCTTCGTATTTTTGAGATCATTTTACGTTCATTTATTGAGGATCATTTGCATCCCTTATTTGTTGAGATCATTTTTGTTCTTCAGCATCGTCCATATTTGTTGAGACTTATTTCGCCTCTTCACATCAGCCTGTCCTTTTAGATCGTTCATTTTGTTAGACCTCTTTCTACCATCGTTCATATTTGTTGAGATCATTTGCATCCTTCTAGCATCGTCCATATTTGTTGAGACTATTTGTATCCTTCTAGCATCGTCCATATTTGTTGAGATCATTTGTCCTTCTACCATCGTCCATATTTGTTGAAATCATTTGCATCCTTCTAGCATTGTCCATGTTTCATTGGAGATCATTTGCCTCTTCTAACATCGTCCATATTTGTTGAGATCATTTGCCCCTTCTACCATCGTTCCTATTTGTTGAGATCTATCGGTGGCATCCTCTAGCATCGTCCATATTTGTTGAGATCATTTGTATCCTTCTAGCATCGTCCATATTTTTGAGATCATTTGCCTCCTTCTAGCATCGTCCATATTTTTTGAGATCATTTGCATCCTTCTAGCATCGTCCATATTTGTTGAGATCATTTGCCTCTTCTACCATCGTCCATATTTGTTGAGATCATTTGCATCCTTCTAGCATCGTCCATATTTGTTGAGATCATTTGTATCCTTTCTAGCATTTGTTGATCATCCATATTTTTTGAGATCATTTGCATCCTTCTAGCATCGTCCATATTTGTTGAGATCATTTGCATCCTTCTAGCATCGTCCATATTTGTTGAGATCATTTGCATCCTTCTAGCATCGTCCATATTTGTTGAGATCATTTGCCTCCTTCTACCATCGTCCATATTTGTTGAGATCATTTGCATCCTTCTAGCATCGTCCATATTTGTTGAGATCATTTGTATCCTTCTAGCATCGTCCATATTTGTTTCTAGATTTTGATTTGCATCTTCTACCATCGTCCATTTTGTTGAGATCATTTGTATCCTTCTAGCATCGTCCATATTTGTTAGAGATCATTTGCCTCTTCTAGATCGTCCATTTGTTGAGATCATTTGCATCCTTCTAGCATCGTTCATATTTTTTGAGATCATTTGCCTCTTCTACCATCGTTCATATTTGTTGAGATCATTTGCATCCTTCTACCATCGTCCATATTTGTTGAGATCATTTGATCCTTCTAGATCGTCCATATTTGTTGAGATCATTTGCCTCTTCTAGCATCGTCCATATTTGTTGAGATCATTTGCATCCTTCTAGCATCGTCCATATTTGTTGAGATCATTTGCATCCTTCTACAATCGTCCATATTTGTTGAGATCGTCGTCCATATTTGTTGAGATCATTTGCATCCTTCTAGCATCGTCCATATTTGTTGAGATCATTTGCATCCTTCTAGCATCGTCCATATTTGTTGAGATCATTTGCCTCTTCTACCATCGTTCATATTTGTTGAGATCATTTGCCTCTTCTACCATCGTCCATATTTGTTGATATCATTTTGCGTCCTTTTGTAGCATCTACCATCGTCCATATTTGTTGAGATCATTTGTATCCTTCTAGTATCGTTCATATTTGTTGAGATCATTTGCCTCTTCTACCATCGTCCATATTTGTTGAGATCATTTGCATCCTTCTAGCATCGTCCATATTTGTTGAGATCATTTGTATCCTTCTAGCATCGTCCATATTTTTTGAGATCATTTGCATCCTTCTAGCATCGTCCATATTTGTTGAGATCATTTGCCTCTTCTACCATCGTCCATATTTGTTGAGATCATTTGCATCCTTCTAGCATCGTCCATATTTGTTGAGATTTATTTGCCTCTTCTACCATCGTCCATATTTGTTGAGATCATTTGCATCCTTCTAGCATCGTCCATATTTGTTGAGATCATTTGCCTCTTCTACCATCGTCCATATTTGTTGAGATCATTTGCATCCTTCTAGCATCGTCCATATTTGTTGAGATCATTTGTATCCTTCTAGCATCGTCCATATTTGTTGAGATCATTTGCCTCTTCTACCATCGTCCATATTTGTTGAGATCATTTGCATCCTTCTAGCATCGTTCATATTTGTTGAGATCATTTGCCTCTTCTACCATCGTCCATATTTGTTGAGATCATTTGCATCCTTCTAGCATCGTCCATATTTGTTGAGATCATTTGCCTCTTCTACCATCGTCCATATTTGTTGAGATCATTTGCCTCTTCTACCATCGTTCATATTTGTTGAGATCATTTGCATCCTTCTAGCATCGTCCATATTTGTTGAGATCATTTGCCTCTTCTAGCATCGTCCATATTTTTTTAGATCATTTGCATCCTTCTAGCATCGTCCATATTTGTTGAGATCATTTGCCTCCTTCTAGCATCGTCCATATTTGTTGAGATCGTTTGCCCTTCTTCGTCCATATTTGTTGAGATCATTTGTATCCTTCTAGCATCGTCCATCCATATTTTGTTGAGATCATTTGCATCCTCTTCGTCCATATTTTTGAGATCTACCATCGTCCATATTTGTTGAGATCATTTGTATCCTTTGTAGCATTTGTTCCTTCTAGCATATATTTGTTGAGATCATTTGCCTCTTCTACCATCGTTCATATTTGTTGAGATCATTTGCCTCCTTCTAGCATCGTCCATATTTGTTGAGATCATTTGCATCCTTCTAGCATCGTCCATATTTGTTGAGATCATTTGCATCGTCCATATTTGAGATCATTCTACCATCGTCCATATTTGTTGAGATCATTTGCATCCTTCTAGCATCGTTCATATTTTTTGAGATCATTTGCCCTTCTACCATCGTCCATATTTGTTGAGATCATTTGCATCCTTCTAGCATCGTCCATATTTGTTGAGATCATTTGTATCCTTTTAGCATCGTCCATATTTGTTGAGATCATTTGCCTCTTCTACCATCGTCGTCCATATTTGCATTGAGATCATTTGAGATCATCCTTCTAGCATCGTCCATATTTGTTGAGATCATTTGCCTCTTCTACCATCGTTCATATTTGTTGAGATCATTTGCATCCTTCTAGCATCGTCCATATTTGTTGAGATCATTTGCATCCTTCTAGCATCGTCCATATTTGTTGAGATCATTTGCCTCTTCTACCATCGTCCATATTTGTTGAGATCATTTGCATCCTTCTAGCATCGTCCATATTTGTTGAGATCATTTGCCTCTTCTACCATCGTCCATATTTGTTGAGATCATTTGCATCCTTCTAGCATCGTCCATATTTGTTGAGATCATTTGTATCCTTCTAGCATCGTCCATATTTGTTGAGATCATTTGCCTCTTCTAGCATCGTCCATATTTGTTGAGATGAGATCGTTCCATTTTTGATCATTTGCCTTCTAGCATCGTCCATATTTGTTGAGATCATTTGCCTCCTCTACCATCGTCCATATTTGTTGAGATCATTTGCATCCTTCTAGCATCGTCCATATTTGTTGAGATCATTTGCATCCTTCTAGCATCGTCCATATTTGTTGAGATCATTTGCATCCCATTCTAGCATCGTCCATATTTGTTGAGATCATTTGCCCTTCTAGCATCGTCCATATTTGTTGAGATCTTTTTAGATCATTTTGTTGCATGCCTTTCTAGCATCGTCCATATTTGTTGAGATCATTTGTTTCTACCATCGTCCATATTTGTTGAGATCATTTTGCCCTTCTACCATCGTCCATATTTGTTGAGATCATTTTGCATCCTTTCTAGCATCGTTCATATTTGTTGAGATCATTTGCATCCTTTCTAGCATCGTCCATATTTGTTGAGATCATTTGCATCCTTCTAGCATCGTCCATATTTGTTGAGATCATTTGCATTTGTCCATATTTGTTGAGATCATTTGTATCCTTCTACCATCGTCCATATTTGTTGAGATCATTTGCATCTTCTACCATCGTCCATATTTGTTGAGATCATTTGCATCCTTCTAGCATCGTCCATATTTGTTGAGATCATTTTTGAGAATCATCCTTCTACCATCGTTCATATTTGTTGAGATCATTTGCATCCTTCTAGCATCGTCCATATTTGTTGAGATCATTTGTCCATCCTTCTAGCATCGTCCATATTTGTTGAGATCATTTGCCTCTTCTACCATCGTCCATATTTGTTGAGATCATTTTGCATCCTTCTAGCATCGTCCATATTTGTTGAGATCATTTGCATCCTTCTAGCATCGTCCATATTTGTTGAGATCATTTGCCTCCTTCTACCATCGTCCATATTTGTTGAGATCATTTGCATCCTTCTAGCATCGTCCATATTTGTGAGAGATCGTTCATTTGAGATCTTCTAGCATCGTCCATATTTGTTGAGATCATTTTACATCCTTCTAGCATCGTCCATATTTGTTGAGATCATTTGCCTTCCCATTTTTGTTGAGATCATTTGCCTAGCATCGTCCATATTTGTTGAGATCATTTTGCATCCTTCTAGCATCGTCCATATTTGTTGAGATCATTTGCATCCTTCTACCATCGTCCATATTTGTTGAGATCATTTGCATCCTTCTAGCATCGTCCCTATTTGTTGAGATCATTTGCATCCTTCTAACATCGTCCATATATGTTGAGATCATTTGCCTCTTCTACCATCGTCCATATTTGTTGAGATCATTTGCATCCTTCTAGCATCGTCCATATTTGTTGAGATCATTTGCATCCTTCTAACATCGTCCATATTTGTTGAGATCATTTGCATCCTTCTAGCATCGTCCATATTTGTTGAGATCATTTGCATCTTCTAGCATCGTCCATATTTTTTTAGATCATTTGCATCCTTCTAGCATCGTCCATATTTGTTGAGATCATTTGCCTCTTCTAGCATCGTCCATATTTTTTTAGATCATTTACCTCTTCTAGCATCGCGTCCAAATTTGTTGAGATCATTTGCCTCTTCTACCATCGTCCATATTTGTTGAGATCATTTGTCCATATTTATTTGTTGAGATCATTTGCCTCTTCTACCATCGTCCATATTTGTTGAGATCATTTGCATCCTTCTAGCATCGTCCATATTTGTTGAGATTTTATTTGCATCGTCCTTGTTGAGATCATCGTCCTCTTCTATATTTGTTTGAGATCATTTGCCTCTTCTACCATCGTTCATATTTGTTGAGATCATTTGCCTCTTCTACCATCGTCCATATTTGTTGAGATCATTTGCATCCTTCTAGCATCGTCCATATTTGTTGAGATCATTTGCATCCTTCTAGCATCGTCCATATTTGTTGAGATCATTTGCCTCTTCTACCATCGTTCATATTTGTTGAGATCATTTGCCTCTTCTACCATCGTTCATATTTGTTGAGATCTTTTACATCCTTCTAGCATCGTCCATATTTGTTGAGATCATTTGCATCCTTCTAGCATCGTCCATATTTGTTGAGAGATCTTCTACCATCGTTCATATTTTTGAGATCTTTTGCTCTTCTACCATCGTCCATATTTGTTGAGATCATTTTGTTGAGATCGTTCATTCTACCATCGTCCATATTTGTTGAGATCATTTGCCCTTCTACCATCGTCCATATTTGTTGAGATCATTTGCATCCTTCTAGCATCGTCCATATTTGTTGAGATCATTTGCATCCTTCTACCATCGTCCATATTTGTTGAGATCATTTGCATCCTTTCTAGCATCGTCCATATTTGTTGAGATCATTTTGCCTCTTCTACCATCGTCCATATTTGTTGAGATCATTTGCCTCTTCTAGCATCGTCCATATTTGTTGAGATCATTTGCATCCTTCTACCATCGTCCATATTTGTTGAGATCATTTGCCTCTTCTACCATCGTCCATATTTGTTGATCATTTGCCCTTCTACCATCGTCCATATTTGTTGAGATCATTTTACTTCTAGCATCGTCCATATTTGTTGAGATCATTTGCATCTTCTACCATCGTCCATATTTGTTGAGATCATTTGCATCCTTCTAGCATCGTCCATATTTGTTGAGATCATTTGTATCCTTCTAGCATCGTCCATATTTGTTGAGATCCATTTTGCAGATCTTTCTAGCATCGTCCATATTTGTTGAGATCATTTGCATCCTTCTACCATCGTCCATAATTGTTGAGATCATTTGCCCTACCTCATCGTCCATATTTGTTGAGATCATTTGCATCCTTCTAGCATCGTCCATATTTGTTGAGATCATTTGCATCCTTCTACATCGTCCATATTTGTTGAGATCATTTGCATCCTTCTAGCATCGTCCATATTTGTTGAGATCATTTGTATCCTTCTAGCATCGTCCATATTTGTTGAGATCATTTGCATCCTTCTAGCATCGTCCATATTTGTTGAGATCATTTGCATCCTTCTAGCATCGTCCATATTTGTTGAGATTTGCATTTGCTCTTCCATATTTGTTGATCGTTCATATTTGTTGAGATCTTTTGCCTCTTCTAGCATCGTCCATATTTGTTGAGATCTTTTACATCCTTCTAGCATCGTCCATATTTGTTGAGATCATTTGCATCCTTCTAGCATCGTCCATATTTGTTGAGATCATTTGCATTTGCATCTACCATCGTCCATATTTGTTGAGATCTTGTATCCTTCTAGCATCGTTTATATTTGTTGAGATCTTTTACATCCTTCTAGCATCGTCCATATTTGTTGAGATCATTTGCATCCTTCTAGCATCGTCCATATTTGTTGAGATCATTTGCCTCTTCTACCATCGTTCATATTTTTTGAGATCATTTGCCTCTTCTACCATCGTCCATATTTGTTGATATCTTTTACATCCTTCTAGCTTCGTCCATATTTGTTGAGATTTGCATTTGCCATCCTTTGCTAGCATCGTCCATATTTGTTGAGATCGTCCATTTTGTTGATCCTTTCTAGCATCGTCCATATTTATTTGAGAATCTTTTTGCCTCTTCTACCATCTCGTCTGTATTTTGTTTGAGATCTTTTACGTCCTTCTAGCATCGTCCATATTTGATCATTTGCATCCTTCTAGCATCGTCCCATATTTGTTGAGAATCATTTTGCCTCTTCTACCATCATTCATATTTGTTGAATCTTTTGCCTCTTCTAACATCGTTTATATTTGTTGAATCTTTTACATCCTTCTAACATCGTCCATGTGGTAGAATATTTGCATCTTCTTTCATCTGTTGTTGTATTTTTTTTACTCTTCTACCATCATTCATATTTTTTGAATCATTTTGCCTCTTCTACCATCGTCCATATTTGTTGATATCTTTTTTTTTACTCTAACTTCTAACTTCGATACATATTTGTTGAATCATTTGCATCCTTATCGTCCATGTTGTTGGGGAATCATTTGCATCCTTCTAACATCGTCCATATTTGTTGAGATCATTTGTGTCCTTCCTTCTATTTGCATCGTCCATATTTATTTGAGATTTGCATTTTGCATTTGCCTTCTAGCATCGTCCATATTTGTTGAGATCATTTGCATCACCATCGTCCATTTTGTTGAGATCATTTGCCCTTCACCATCGTCCATATTTGTTGAGATCATTTTGCATCCTTCTGTCCATATTTGTTGGAGATCATTTGATCCTTCTACCATCGTTCATATTTTTCCCTTTCTACCATCGTTCATTTTTTTTTGAGATCATTTGCCTCTTCTACCATCGTCCATATTTGTTGAGATCATTTGCCTCTTCTACCATCGTCCATATTTGTTGAGATCATTTGCATCCTTCTAGCATCGTCCATATTTGTTGAGATCATTTGCATCCTTTCTAGCATCGTCCATATTTGTTGAGATCATTTGCCCTTCTAGCATCGTCCATATTTGTTGAGATCATTTGCCTCTTCTAGCATCGTCCATATTTGTTGAGATCATTTGTATCTTCTAGCATCGTTCATATTTGCAGATCATTTGCCTCTTCTACCATCGTCATATTTGTTGAGATCTTTTGCATCCTTCTAGCATCGTCCATATTTGTTGAGATCTTTTACATCTTCTTTAGCATCGTCCATATTTGTTGACTATCATTTGCCTCTTCTAGATCATCGTTCATATTTGTTGAGATCTTTTTCTCTTCTAGCATCTTTAGCTTTTACATCCTTCTAGTCCCATATTGTTGGAGGATCATTTGCATCCTTCTACCTCGTCCATATTTGTTGAGATCATTTTGCTCTTCTACCATCGTTCATTTTTTGAGACCCTCTTCTACTATCGTCCATATTTGTTGAGATCTTTTTACCCTTCTAGCATCCTTTTGTAGATCATTTGCATCCTTCTAGCATCGTCCATATTTTTGAGATCATTTGCCTCTTCTACCGTCGTCCATACCATCGTCCATATTTGTTGAGATCATTTTCCTTCTACTATCGTCCATATTTGAGATCATTTGCATCCTTCTAGCATCTGTCCATTTGTTGAGATCATTTGCCTCTTCTACCATCGTCCATATTTGTTGAGATCATTTGCATCCTTCTGCCATCGTCCATATTTGTTGAGATCATTTGCCTTCTACTGGTTCATATTTGGAGATCATTTTGCCCTTCTACCATCGTCCATATTTTGATATCATTTGCCTCTTCTACCACGTCCATATTTGTTGAATCTATTGCATCCATCTTGCATCGTCCATTTGTTGAGATCATTTGCCTCTTCTAGCATCGTCCATATTTGTTGATTTTGCATCCTTTCTACCATCGTTTTTGTTGAGATCCTCTTCTACCATCGTCCATATTTGTTGAGATCATTTGCATCTTCTACCATCGTCCATATTTATTTCTATCTTTTTTGAGATCATTTGTCCTTCTAGCATCGTCCATATTGTTGAGATATCTTTTACCATCCTCTTGCTGAGACATCGTCCATGTTTGTTGAGATCATTTGCATCCTTCTATAGCATCGTCCATATTTGTTGAGAATCATTTTGACCTTCTACCATCGCCATATTTGTTGAATCATTTTGCCTCTTCTACCATCGTTCATATTTGTTGAGATCATTTGCCTCTTCTAGCATCGTCCATATTTGTTGAGATCATTTACCATCCTTCTATTTGCATCGTCCATATTTTTTTGATCTCATTTGCATCGTCCATTCTAGCATCGTCCCCATATTTGTTGAGATCATTTGCCTCTTCTACCATCGTTCATATTTTTTTTGCCTCTTCTAGATCATTTTGCCTCTTCTAGCATAAATCCATATTTGTTGATATCTTTTGCATCCTTCTAGCATCGTCCATATTTTTTTTTGACCATCATTTTTTTGAGATCCTTCTCTACCATCGTCCATATTTGTTGATATCTTTAGATCCTTCTATTTGTTGAGATCATTTGCATCTTCTAGCATCGTCCATATTTGTTTAGATCATTTTGCATCCTTCTACATCGTCCATCATCCATATTTGTTGGAGATCATTTCCCTCTTCTTTATCGTCCATATTTGTTGAGATCATTTGCATCCTTCTACCATCATTCATATTTGCTGAGACTATTTGCCTCTTCTACCATCATTCATATTTTGTTGAGATCTTTTTACATCCTTCTAGCATCGTCCATATTTGTTGAGGACTATTTGCCCCTTCTACCATCGTTCATATTTGTTGGAGACTTATTTGCCCTTCTCACCATCGTCCATATTTGTTGATATCTTTTACATCCTCTAGCTTCTGTCCATATTTGTTGAGATCATTTGCATCCTTCTAGCATCGTCCATATTTGTTGAGACTACTGCATTTGCATCCTTCTAGATCATTTGCGTATCGTCCATATTTGTTGAGATCATTTGTATTCTAGCATCGTACCATCGTTCTACCATCGTTCATATTTGTTGAGATCATTTGCCCTCTACCATCACCGTCCATATTTGTTGATATCTTTATCGTCCCATATTTTTGTTGAGATCATTTGCATCCTTCTAGCATTGTCCATATTTGTTGAGATCATTTGCTTTGGCCTCTTCTACCATCGTCCATAATTGCTGAGATCATTTTGCATCCTTTCTAGCATCGTCCATATTTGTTGAGACTATCGCTCTTCTACCATCCACCATTTGTTGAGATCATTTGCCTCTTTCTACCATCGTCCATATTTGTTGAGATCATTTGCATCCTTCTAGCATCGTCCATATTTGTTGAGATCATTTGACTCTTCTACCATCCTCCATATCTGTTGGAGATCATTTTGCCTCTTCTAGCATCGTCCATATTTGTTGAGATGTTTGCCTCTTCGCATCGTCCATATTTGTTGAGATCATTTTGCTCTTCTACCATCGTTCATATTTGTTGAGATGTTTTTCCTCTTCACCATCGTCCATTTTTTTGATATCTTTTACATCCTTCTAGCTTTGTCCATATTTGTTGAGATCATTTGCATCCTTTGCATCGTCCATATTTGCTGAGATCATTTGCATCCTTCTAGCATCGTCCATATTTGTTGCTGATAATCATTTGTATCCCTTCTACCATCATTCATATTTGCTGAGATCATTTGCCCTCTCTTCCATCGTCCATATTTGTTTCATATTTGTTGAATTTTTTGAGATCATTTTGCCTCTTCTACTATCGTCCAATTTGTTGAGGATCATTTGCATCCTTTCTAGCATCGTCCGCATATTTGTTGAGATCATTTGCCTTCTACCCATCGTTTCTATTTGTTGAGATCGTCCATCGTTTATTTTGTTGAGATCTTTTGCATCCTTCTAGCATCGTTCATATTTTTTGAGCATCATTTTCAGCATTTCCTTCTACCGTTCATATTTTTTGAGATCATCACTTCTACCATCGTCCATATTTGTTGATATCTTTTATTTCTGCATCCATATTTGTTGAGATCATTTTATCCCCTAGCTTCGTCCATATTTGTTGAGATCGTCCATTTGCATCATTTGTATCCTACCATCGTCCATATTTGTTGAGATCATTTATCCTTCTAGCATCGTCCATATTTGTTGGAGATCATTTGTAACCTTCTCTAGCATTGTCCATAATTGTTGAGATCATTTGCCCCTTCTACCATCGTCCATTTGTTGAGATCAATTGCATCCTTCAGCATTGTCCATATTTGTTGAGATCATTTGCCCTTCACCATCGTCCATATTTGTTGAGATCATTTGTATCCTCTAGCATCGTCCATATTTGTTGAGATCATTTGCCTCTTCTACCATCGTCCATATTTGTTGATATCTTTTACATCCTTTCTAGCTTCGTTCATATTTGTTGAGATCATTTGCATCCTTCTAGCATCGTCCATATTTGTTGAGATCATTTTGCATCCTTCTAGCATCGTCCCATATTTGTTTAGATCATTTGTTGTCCTTCTACCATCGTCCCGTATTTGTTGAGATCATTTGCCTCTTCTTCACTGTCCATTTGAGATCGTTGCATCCTTCTATTTGTTGACCATCGTTCATCATTTGAGATCCCTTCCTTCTAGTATCGTCCATATTTGTTGAGATCATTTGCCTCTTCTAGCATCCCCATATTTGTTGAGATCATTTTGCCTCTTCTACCATCGTTTCCATATTTGTTGAGATCATTTGCATCCTTCTCTAGCATCGTCCATATTTGTTTTGTCCCCTTTCAATCATTTTGTATCCTTCTACCATCGTCCATATTTGTTGAGATCATTTGCCTCTTCTAGCATCGTCCATGTTTGTTGAATCATTTGTATCCTTCTAGCATCGTCCATATTTGTTGAGATCTTTTTGCCTCTTTCTACCATCGTCCATATTTGTTGAGATCATTTGCATCCTTCTAGCATCGTCCATATTTGTTGAGATCATTTGTGTCCTTCTACCATCGTCCATATTTGTTGAGATCATTTGCATCCTTCAGCATCGTCCATATTTGTTTAGATCATTTGCCTCGTCCATCTAGATTCCATCCTTCAGTTGTCCATATTTGTTGAGATCATTTGCCCCTCTACCATCATTTGTTGAGACTATTTGCATCCTTCTAGCATTTGTCCATATTTGTTTAGAGACTCCTTTGCCCCTCTTCTACCATCGTCCATATCTGTTGAGATCATTTGCCTCTTCTAGCATCGTCCATATTTGTTGAGATCATTTGCCTCTTCTAGCATCGTCCATATTTGTTGAGATCATTTGCCTCTTCTACCATCGTTCATATTTGTTGAGATCTTTTGCCTCTTCTACCATCGTCCATATTTGTTGAGATCTTTTACATCCTTCTAGCATCGTCCATATTTGTTGAGATCATTATGCTCTTCTACTCATCGTTTGTATTTTGTTGAGATCATTTTGCCTCTTCTACCATCGTCCCTATTTGTTGATATCTTTTTACATTATTCTAGCTTCGTCCATGTTTGTTGGAGATCATTTGCATCCTTCTAGCATCGTCCATATTTGTTGAGAATTTGTTTGTCTTTCTAGCATCGTCCATATTTTTTGATCATTTGCATCCTTCTAGCATCGTCCATATTTTTTTTTTTTGATTTTACACCTCTTCTAGCATCGCGTCCAAATTTCTGTTGGAATCATTTGCCTCTTCTGCCATCGTCCATATTTGTTGAGATCATTTGTATCCTTCAGCATCGTCCATATTTATTGAGATCATTTTGCATCCTTCTACCATCGTTCCTTTTGTTCAGATCATTTGCCCTTCTACCATCATTCATATTTGTTGAATCATTTTGCCTCTTCGTCCATATTTGTTGAGATCATTTTGCCCTTCACCATCCATTCATATTTGTTGAGATCATTTGCCTTTTCTAGCATCGTCCATATTTGCCAGACTATTTGTATCCTTTCTAGCATCGTCCATATTTGTTGAGATCATTTGTATCCTTTCTAGCATCGTCCATATTTTTTGAGATCAATTCAATGCACGGACAAATGGTAGATTTGTGCAAGATGGACTAAACGACACAATGAACCAACTTTCCTTGCAGTAGATGCAGCTATTGATTCAATGTAATTGTTGCACTTCAAGTCAGTTGAAAATATGAGGCCAAGAAGGCAGATGAGACGCCATGGTGATGGCATCAGAGAAGTGTCTCTATGGTGGTTAAATGAGTGCAGTTTAATTTTGGAGGCATTTTAATTTTGGTAATTCTGCTTTGATTATGTAACGTTGATAATTCCCCATAAATATGTATTGTTGGTAATTTTACTATGAAGACGTAATTTTGATAATTATGACAAAATTTGTATTGTTGAGGAGTAAATTTACTATGAAAATTCCAATCTCCCAATGAGAGGCCTTTAATCTGGATATTAGTGATCTATATATGGCAAGGTGGATAATGGATAGCGGCACGGATTGAGAAACCTGAGAGCCGTGTTCATTTTCCAATCGAATCCATTGCATTCATTTGATAAATGTAATGAATGAAGAATCATTCGTACCTCATACCAGGGTATTTAACCCTTGGGAAATGAAACCTCTTTTTCCCCCCAAATGTGAGTAAATAGCAGGACAGACCGGGTTCTATTTGCTGGTAATGGATGCAACTGGTCTACCGCAGAAAGAAATGGCAACCTATTGTTTCGTCAGTCATGTATCGAACGATACATGATCGCCTAAGCGTGTATCACGCATGGTAACATAACTTTGACTGATATATAACAAAACTAAGATCGATATAAACGATTTGTATGGGTACTATTGGTAGATAATCATCTACCAATAGTCAATATGAACAGACTAAGATAAACTGTACCAGAATTTATGGAAGCACTAAATTATTTTGTGACAGCGAACTGATATTGGTAAAATTTTCAGTTCTTAGCCATTATCAAGTATGATGTTTTGATATAAAATCATCCTTAATAATGGTTAAAAAGAACAGCTGAAAACACTTTGAGCCGCTACAATGATGCTACTATTCCTTGGGAAAAAGATGATTGTGTAGGATCCGTTCCAGCAGCCAGCAAACATCAGCAGCTAGCAACCAGTAATAGTTGTCAGCAATCTGCAGCAGCAACGGTAGACGACATTTCAGTTCCGATTCCAACTGCCTCCTGTCTAACTCAGCAGCCACCACAACCACCAAGGGTATTTAAAACATCTGCATCTTTTGTTCGTTTCATTGTATTTTTGCCAATAATAAATTTTGCCATATTTTTTTATCTAAACTCTTAGTTCTAGTTATCCTTATTTAACCTGTGTCACTTCTTCATTTTTCATGTTTGTGGGGATCGTCTAACATAGACATGTGGACCCTTCAACAATCTATCTATCTATCTATCTATCTATCTATCTATATATATATATATATATATATATATATATATATATATATATGGGAAAAACGATATTTACATTTTTATATATGGATGAAAAACCAATTTTAAGAAAGTCTATGACAAACTATAAAAAAGTTTTGTCTTTCCTGCGTTTTAAAAAATTAGTACTTCATAGAATTAAGGAGCAGCTACATATTGCGCATTTGTACATATTTCCATCCGTTTTTTTTATTAACTAGCCCACATTATGATGATAGGATATGTCAAAAAGAGTTTTTGATTTCTGTTAAATAATTTACGGCGTAAATTTGTATGGATGATCTAGCGATTAAAGATTTTTTTTATACATTTTCGGCTTAGTAAATTCCTTCCTTTTAATTAGAGTAGCATATTTAAATCAAAATTATTATCAGACTAATGTACTGATTACTTTTTTGTTATGTAACCTTTGAGGCTTCTTTTTATGTATTCCTTGTACACAATTATTACAGGTTTGAATAAATTTCTTCAATTTTTTTATCTCATTATTTTCCTTTTAGGTTAATTAAAGTATTTTAATATTTTAGAAATTTTCAGTTGAATAAATTTTGTTGTCAATAAGCTTATATGAATTCTTTTCAAATCTAGTTGAGATAGTGATGGTGGGTAGGACAATATATTTTGTTTCTTTTGTTTTGTCAGAAAAATGGAATGGATTTTAGTGATATCAGAAAAAACAATTCTTCTACTAACCCTGGCTCAATAGAAAATGATTCATTTTTTTTTACAAATTTAAGCAAAATTAAATTTCTATATTCATATATTTAAACAATCAGCGACGTCATATGGAACGCTTGTAGTTTTTGAATTTACAAACGACAATTTTTGTCGTCTGCTACGAAAATTTGTAAGATCACTTCAGAAAATGAATCAGCTATATTTTCCTTCTCAAAATGGATGTTTAAAAATTTAAAAAATATTTAAAACTAATAAATTTCTGAGTTTAGTAAAATTTAACTTTTACATTTTTGGAACATACGATTTTCTTTAAATATTGTGATGCCATAATAAATGAGTTTTCAGTTAACCTTTAAAAAAAGTCGTTCGTTGTTATAAAGGCTGAAATCATAAACATTAATTTATTACTCAATTTTAGCATATTTATTCGACTATACAATCTTAAAAAAGGTTATAAAGTTAAGTAGCAAAAAATCATATGAAACGAGTTATTTGTCAACACGAATTTTTAGTATCAAAATAAGTTCAAATGCCGTCTTACAGCTTACTAAAAAATTAAAAACATAAAAAAACAACGTAAAAACGTGATACAAAAATTCTCACATGTAGACGTATTCTATTTTTATTCATACTTTTTTGAAATTGATCCGGTTGTATTGTAAAAAAATAGACAAATTAACATTTTTCCCTGTGAAGTTGTTTCAAAAAGAACCTTTTGTAATTGATTTATTTCAATTTGAAAGAAAACTAATAGTCAATAATAAAAAAATTGTTTCAATTTGTAGAGCCGAGTTGAATATCGTTTATATAAAAATCGTTTATCCGTTTAGTTATTCCGCGGCAAATAATTGTTGACGGCCGACATAGAACACTTACAAATGTAAACATACAAATCAATCATCTATCGAACATATTTACAAATATTGGTGATCAAACAAATATTGTAAACTGGCTTAGTTCATTAATGTATAGTCATAGAGACTTTTGGTCTACCAAGTTGAACTTAAAATCAGACGGCGAATTGGGACTGATAATTATATATATATATATATATTAGACGAAATGAAATGTTCAAAATTTAATTTTGAGAACTTTTACTTAAAAGACTGCTTGACATTGCATTATATCAGAAATAAATAATATTTAAACAAAATATATATATATATATATATATATATATATATATATATATATTAAAAATGAAGAAATCTTTTGATGACAAACATGAGCTTCACAGGTCCGTTTTTTTTTAAGTCTTTTTATTTACACAATTTTTAAACTAAGACACACACACACACACACACATCACACACATACACACACACACACACACACATACAAATATATTTCATTCAATATATGTTTAATTGAATAATCTCGACATATATATTATGTCTGTTTATCAAGTTATGCTTTTCTCTCTATAATTCTCTGATCAACTTCTTATAATGTAAATTGGATATTGGTATTCATTTTTTTTCTTTATCATTTTATTTTCTCTTTCAAAACTGTGATGGAATCTATGTTTTTTAATGTTTAATAAAATGGAGAACAGAGGTTTATTTTAAATGCTTTCAATCTCTGGCTGATCATCTTAAAACATGGTTTGAACTGCTAAGACAAAATATGAATGATTTTTGTGATTTTTTTAAACATATTCATGATGTTTTTTTATCTCTTATAATTATTTTAAAATTAAAAAGGTATGAAGTTAGTTTCCTTTTTTTTAACCCTGTTTTTTGATAAGGGAGGTTGAAATAATTTGTCTGATTATTCGATTTTGTTCAAAAACATTTTTAAAAACATTGCTATTATAAACATTTTAAACCATTGCTTTTATCCTCATAACTAGGCTTTCATTTCAGCGTTGGCTGTTTTTCTTTTTATAGAGGGTCTCTGAAAAATTGAAGTTTAGTTTTTTTTTTCATAATTTTATTAAAATTTTGTGTTATCAATAAATTTTTTTGTATTTTTTCAAAATTCCGAAATGTTATTTTAAATGTTGTGTGATTGATATTAAAGCTGATTGTAATTGAGTATCGTAAATATAATTATTTATATATATAAATATAAACTGAGATATCGTATATAATTAGTTTTATATTTTATAACAATGAGGAGTATAAAATAACTTATTATTTTTTTAGGATTTTATTAAAAAATGGTTAGAATGCATTTGATTTAAATATAGTAGGTTGATATGTTTTATGTTTTCTTTGATTTATGCTAATAATTTTAATTTTTCCTCTAATTTGTTCATCAACAATTATGTAATTAGGAAAATCATTATTAATTAGAGTTTGTTTTATGTTTTTTTGTTCATTGTATTTTTTTTTGGAAAAGAATAATTTTGTTTTGGTTTATTGAATTTTATTAATAGCTATTTTGTAATAGTCAGGGCATTCACTTTTTTTTCATAATATGAGTTCACATGTTTATACTAAAGTTTTTTTTTCTGTGGAACAATAATTAGTAGTAAAATGTAAAAATTATGTCTATCAATACATGGAAAAAAGGTATTTTATTTTTATTGTTGAACATGAGAATATGGATATAAATAAAAAAGCACAACAAGAAAATTATCAACAAAACCACACGAACAAATTAAACCCACTTATAACTGCAGAATAAAGAACGGTTCTCCCTTAAATGGTAATTGTTTACAAAACAAATTTAATATACCAAGCCATGATAAAATCACCAGATAATGAAGAAAAAAGTATACATAGGAGTAACTGAAGGACCCTGGAAAC